ATTGAAAGCTTTCTTCTTTTCTGGTGTAAACAGTTTGATGCTGTAACTGTTTCTCTAGATACTGCTTTAGCTACATCTCTCAAGTTTTTATATGTTGTGTTTGTATTACCATTCAATTCCAAATTTTTTAAAACTTATCTTGTAGGGCCGGCCCGTGGCTCACTTGGGAGAGTGCGGTGCTGATAACACCAAGGCCCCGGGTTCGGATCCCATATAGGGATGGTTGGTTTGCTCGCTGACTGAGCGTGGTGCTGACAACACCAAATCAAGGGTTAAGATCCCCTTACCGGTCATCTTTTATAAAAAAATAAAAAATAAAAAAAAAATAAAACTTATCTTGTAACTTTATTTTTCACTCCTTGGTTATTTAAGGGTTAAGATCCCCTTACCGGTCATCTTTTATAAAAAAATAAAAAATAAAAAAAAAATAAAAACTTATCTTGTAACTTTATTTTTCACTCCTTGGTTATTTAGATTTGTATTGCTTAGTTTTCAAATATTTGGGGATTTTACAGATGTCTTTCTATTATTCATTTTTAGTTGAGTTCTGATTTTGTCAAAGAATATACTATTACAAATTTCAATTCTTTTAAATTTGTTGTGGTTTGTTTTATGGCCAAGAATATGACCTGTCTTGATGAATGTTGTATGTATACTTGAATAAATATTGTGCTGTTGATGGTGGAGTCCTCTATAAATATTAAATGGGTCAGGGTGGTTGATAGAGTGGTTCAGTTCTTTTGTATCTTTACTGGTTTTCTATTTACTTATTCTGTCAGTTACTGAGAAGAGTATTGAAGTGTTCAATATAATCGTGCATTTATTTATTTTTTTCAGGTCTATCAGTTTTTTGCATTTTTGTATTACTTACTTATTTTGGGGAGTGGGGAGCAGCGGGCCAGTATGGGGATCCGAACCCTTGACCTTGTCGTTATATGTTTCTTGTATTTTGCAGTTCTTTTGTTAGGTGCCTGTATATTTAGGATTGTTATGCCTTTTTGGTGATTTGACATATTTACTATTAATTGATGGCCCTTTCTATCCTTGATAATATTCCTACTTCTGAAGCTTACTTTATCTGATATTAATATAATTACTCCAGGTTTCCTTTGATTAGTGTTTGCAAAGTATGTCTTTTTTTATCCTTTTACTTTTAATTGACTTCTGTTGTTTAACTGGTGTGTATATACCAATTATAGATAATTGTATTAAAATCTACCATTTTGCTAGTATTTTTCTCTTTTGTCCCATCTGGTCTTTGTTTCCATTTTTCTGTTTTCTGCCTACTTTTGGCTTAAGTGGGTACTTTTTATGGCTGTATTTTATCTTCACTATTGGCTTATTATTCAATTGTACAAGTCTTACAAAATTTTCATTGGTTGCCCTAAGGTTTACAGTAAACATCTTGAGTTGATCATGGTGGACCTTTAGATAATATACTGCTTTGTGTATGTATACTTAAAACATTATATTCTCAATTCAATTTTATATTCCCATTTTTTGTGCTGTTATTGTCATACATTTTACTTTTACATATGCTGTAAACCATAAACCTCTGCTACTATTTTTGCTTTAGACAATCATCTTTTAGAGTGATTAAAAGCAAGAAAAAGTATCTTTTGTATTTATCTTCATTTTAATCATTCTCAGAGATCTTCATTTCTCTTTGTAGATCCAGGTTTCTGTCTGATAATCATATTCCTTCTACCTAAAGAACTTCTTCAAACATTTCTTGTAGTACAGGTCTACTGGTAATGCAGTCAATACCAGCAGCCAAAAAGCAAACTGAGTTAATTAAGTGTCTTGCATTGATTATGAATACCAATTTCTTGGTTCTCTACATTAGGTCTGAATAAATTTCATGGACCTTCATACAGATGGTGTTTTGGAAAGCATCCCTAGAAACAACCAAAATTAAATAGGTCGTAGTTTGTCTATGGTTGTTTCATGTAGCATTCTTCAGTACAAGTGTAGGGTGTTATTATGTGTATTTGTTTTTCCAATCAGATGCCATGATGCAAAAGAACTCAATAAATATATGGGTGAGTATTTAAATTTTCCCTCTCTTCCCCACGGGAATGACTATATTACTTTCTTGAATAGCTTTCCAGAGTTTATTTGTACATATTTACACAAGTGCAAATATAAGATAGCATATTAATCATACTATTCTGTTTATGGGTGTTTTGTTTTTAATTAACAGACTTCGTTTTTTAGAGCAGTTTTGGGTTTACAGAAAAATTGAGTGGAAAGTACAAGTGTACTTTAAAAAGTTCATGGAAGGATTCATATTATTTTTTAATTCTATTTTCCACAAACTTTTTGAAGTACCCTTGTACGGAGAGTTCCCACTTACCCTTTTACTCGCCCCACCCACAGTTTCCCGATACTAACATTTTGCATTAATGTGGTAAACTTGTTAAAATTGATGAGCCAATATTGATACTTTACCTAAAGTCCATAGCTCACTCCTTGTGTTGTACATTTTATGGGTTTTGACAAATGTATAATGACATGTATCCACCATTGTAGTATTATACAGAATAGTTTCACTGCCCTAAAAATCCCCTGTGTTCTACCTATTAATTCCTTACTCCCTTTCCTTAAGCCCTTGGCAACTCTGATTTTTTTTTTTTCCTTTTTGTCTTTTTTACTGACCGGTAATGGGATTGCAACCCTCGGTGTCGCACCCGTACTGGGGACCGGCACCGGGATCGCAACCCTCGGTGTTGCGCCCGCACCGCGCTCAGCCAGTGAGCGGGAACCGGTCTCCACATGGGATCCGAACCCTCGGCGGGAGCGCCACCACACTCCCAAGTGGCGCACTCTCCAGTGTGCCACTGGGCCGGCCCTGCAACTCTGATTTTTTAACAGTCTCATCTCCCTAGTTTTGCATTTTCCAGAATGCCATAAAAGTGGATTCATACAGTAGATAGCCTTTTCAGATTGGTTTCCTTCACTTAGAAATATACATTGAAGGTTCCTCCATGTCTTTTTGTGGCTGAATAATATTCCATTGTGTGGATGTACCATAGTTTATCCATTCACCTATTAAACGACATCTTGATTGCTTCCAAATTTTGGCAGTTATGAATAAAGCTGCTATACTGTGTGCAGGGTTTTTCTTTGTAGACATAAGTTTTCAACTCATTTGGGTAAATGCCAAGGACCATGATTGCTGCATCATAGTAAGAATATGATTAATTTTGTGAGAAACTGCCAAACTGCTTTCCAAGTAGCTATACCATTTTGTATTACCATCAGCAATGAATGAGAGGTTCTGTTGTTCACTTGTTCCACATCCTCACCAGCATTTGATGTCAGTATTCTGGATTTTAACCATTCTAATAGGTACATGCTAGTATCTTCTTGTTTTAGTTTACAATTCCCTGATGACATACAATGTTGGGCATCTTTTCATATACTTATTTGCCATCAGTTCTCTTCTTTGGTGAAGTGTCTGTTCAGATCTTTTGCTTATTTTTAAATAGATATGTAAGACCTAAAAGATGTCCTATCATGCACTGTTACACTTCTCGCTGTGTAACAGAGACAAAAAAAGATTACTCAAAGCAACATGAATGTGATGAGAGCCCAAAGGGACTGCACCTCAGCAACTCCTCTGTCAGAAGGAGAAACTGGGCAGCAGCCCCAAATCAGTTTTTGCTTCAGTTTTTATTGGAAAAAAACAAGGAAATTACAGGAAAAGAACAGATGGTTAATCAGTCATAGTAAGAACATACAGAAATTGGCTATGTAACAATCTTCATCCAAGCATGCATGGTTCAAAATAGTTTAAACAATATATCATTAAAAGAGTCATAAATTTAAGCTAGGTGACATGCAAAAGAAACAATGAGACAATCATGAAAGTGCCTGACTTCTTGAGAAACTCACAGAAACAGCTTAAAGCAAAATGTGGAAAAAAACCCATGTACTAACTAATCTAGCAAAACATCCTCGGAAATCTTAACTCATATGTTTTCCCATCATTTAAGCTTTGTTGTATTAAAGGTTATTGCCCTCAGAACAATCCTTATTCTGTTTTAGTTCTCTTGTTCACATTAAAGGCTTTAAACGTGTGTGTTTTCTTTTTACAAAATCTTCCAATGATCCCATTATACTAACAATCAGTGTATATAATCCCTAACCTAAACAGTAATTAGAATTGATTTGGTGGGCTCTTGCCCCCCCCAGCTGTAGGCGCTTACCTCTTATCTGAAGACTTTTGTCCCATGCATGCATTACCTAAAAACCCTATCTAGTAATCAAATAGGAATCAAGATTTCTAACCTTCTACAGTGCACCCATGTGCCCTTTATCAAGACTTAGGTTTTTTATCATTGTTTTGTTTTGTTTCAAATTACATTAGCTAGTGCTAGTTAGGGAGAGATGAAACCACTCATGCATTGCTGGTGGTAGTATCAAATGATACAGCCTTACTGGGAGCATTGTGGCAATAGTTGTCAAACAAATCTAGTAATACAAATGTAGCTGTCTAGAAATTTAGCTGCTATTGGACAAAGACTCCCAGGAGAAGACGAGCTGAGCAGAATCTCTTGGTCATGGTCTGACTTTCACTGTCCTGTCCTGGAAGTTTACAAAAGTCCCATTTGGAGTTGTTGGTAAGGTCATGAGAAATATAGGGAAACATGGGCTTAACACAGTTGGGCCATTCGACAGGGTCAAAGTGTGTATCAGGTATTGAATATCTGGCAGGTATGTAATTAGAGGGTATGGGATGCTCTGTATTTTCTGCTTCCGGCTCACTGGTCAACTGTCAACTCTCAGGATCAGATTAAAGCAGAACACATGTAAGATGAAATGAGTGTCCTCATCTGATCCAAGGCAGCTTGGGGTGGAAGAGAGAGACAAATGTCATCAGCACATGGTCAAGGTGAGCCAAACCAAGTACAGATGAGAATCTGGGCCAGGTTCACCCAGGCATTGTGCCCTCAGATTAATAAAAAGGTGGTACAGTGACAGTAGGTATCTCATTGATGACAACCCTCAAAATCCCTGCTTTTGAATCACCCTTTCCAATCTATACTACAAGCAATTTGGCATCAGTAGAGAATCACTGCCATTTTGCAATCTCCTTCAAACTCTTCCTAGTGATTTTCTTCAGCTCTCACTTGTATTGATCTTTTATTTGTCCCTTTCCATACCCTTTTTTTTTTTTTTTTTGGATTACTGTTATTTTATTTGAGTATATTTTTCAGTAGCTTCTTGAGAAAAGGGTGTGTGTGAGATACATTTTGTAGATGTTGCATTTCTGAAAATGTCTCCATTCTGTTCTGGTATTTGGTTGATGGCTAGGAATGAGTTTGGATTTGCCCATTCCTTGCTTTAGTTCTGCCAATTTTTGCTTGATGTATGTTGAAGTTATATTACTCATTGTATATATGTTTATTGATTGCATGCACATTTATGATTGTTCTGTTTGATGAATTTACCCTTTTATCATTTTGGAATGTAACCTCTTCTGATGATACTTCTGAATGTCTGATATAAATAAAGCCATACCTGCTTCCCTGTCTTAGATGGATGTTTACACTTCCTCAGCCTCAGTTCTTACAGGTAGAGTAAATGGGTCAGAATTTATGGTAGGTGTGAGGCTTTGGGTACCTGCTGCCCTTCATAAGGGCAGAATGACAGTGTGGAAGAGGCCTCTTTTCAGCTGTCCAACAATGCTGTCTCTTGCTCAAGATTAAAATAAGTCTTTGACAATTTGATAGGCAAATAAGTGTTGTGTCTAGTCATGTTAAATGTGTTTTCTTGTATTTATGGCCATTTTTATTTCTCATTTGATGTATTCTGTTCAGATTTGGCAGTTCTTATGCTCAGTTATTTTCTTATTGATTTGTAGGAACCATTTTTTTTTTCCTTTTTTTTGTCTTTTTTTACTGACCGGTAACGGGATCGCAACCCTCGGTGTCGCGCCCATACTGCGCTCAGCCAGTGAGCGGGAACTGGTCTCCACATGGGATCCGAACCCTCGGCGGGAGTGCCGCCGCACTCCCAAGCGGCGCACTCTCCAGTGCACCACCGGGCCAGCCCCATACCTGCTTTTTAACGATTAGTGTTTTTATGGTATATCTTTTTCCATTCTTTTTGTTTTAACCTGTGTTCTTATATTTATAGTGTACATCCTCTAAACAGTATATAGTTTGGCCATGGTTTTTATCCAGGCTATCTTTTAATTGATTTATTATTTTAGGTATGATTAATTTTATTACAGGCACTGTTGGATTTAAATCTGTCATCTTGCTGTTTATTTTTTATTTGTCCTATTTTTCTTTTTGTCTTTTGTTTCTTTGCTCTAGGGATTACAGCTTATATACTTAATTGACCACCTCTGTATTCTTTTACATATTACTTTACAGTTCATCTGAAGTCTTTATGTGCTAGCTCTAATCTATGAGTTATCTCTGCATCTGCTTCTTGTCTCTTGATTGTTTTTGTCTTTTCATTGTTTTTGCTTTTTCACATGTCTAATAATTTTTGTTTGTATGCTGGACATGTTGTACGATACATATCTACCTCTAAAAAAATGTTAAGTTTTGCTTTGCCAGATAGTTAAATTATTGACAAGTCATTCTGATCCTGCTGAAGCTTGTTTTTAAGATTTGAAGGGGTGGGTCTATTTCAGCTAGATCACAGTCCTTTCTCCTAGGTTATGGTCCTTACTTCCAGGGCACAGCTTTTCTGGCTTCTCAACTATTCATTTGTATTTCTACTCTTGCCAAGGCCAAACTGCACCATCTCTCCAGCATTGTGCAATTTCTGAAATCTCTGTTTAGCTCTCAGCTTCCCAGTTGCTGTTATCTGCTAATTCTTCTGGAGGCTTGCCCTGTACTGCACGTATTAGGAACTAGCCAAAGATCTGAGGTGCATTTTTATGCAGCATTTTAGTGCCCCTTCTCTATGACTTCTTCAGCTACATTACCCTGTGTCTTAGTCTATTTTGTGCTGCTATAACAGAATACCTGAGATGGAGTAACTTATAAAGAAAAGAAATTTATTTTTTTCACAGTTCTGG